GAAAGCACCCTTAGCTCACGGTGTTAGGAGGTGGATGTAATGTGTTTTGAGCAGGGGATGTTAGATGTTAATCCTACTGTACAAAAATATTTAAGGTGAAGTTTTTTTTAATGTAGTTGTAAAAGTAGCCTACTTTTAAATGTAGCTATTTGTCGGGTCATGGGTACGGTTGCATTATTTCAGTACTAAGTAGCCTATCTAATGGCGTTTTTCCATTTCCAGTACCAGCTCGCCTCGACTTGGCCTCGCTCCATTTTCCATTGCAGATTGTGCCCAGAGATAGTACCCCTCAATGTAGCTGGTTCAATGCGACCCACTCACAGCTGTCCCAGCAGGGTTGTAGCCAATTCTGTGGTCTGGTCTCTGCCTTACAGACCACTGGTCGCTACCACAGTCTCTGAGGGATGAATCCTTCTGTTACTTGTTACACAAACTGTGGCTGTACACATTAAAAAAGGTCAGTTTCAAGTTTTTATACAGTCTATGGTTCCAAAGTAGACCTAAAGTGACCTTAGATCATTTAAATTATCTCAACTGGCAGATGATAATTTTTTTTGTCTAATAGAGAGGAATGGATCAAAGAAATTAGATGTGTTGAGGAATTTTCTACAGTATCAGGCTTAAGAATGAACTTGAACAAATCTGTTCATTAGGCTACCACTTAAGGAATGTGAACTATCAGAAGTTAAAGATATCCCTGTGAAGAACCCAGTTACATACCTGGGTGTGACAAGAATGAAAAACTCTGCAATAACCTGAACTTCAGCCCTATGATTAAACAAATAATGAGAAAAGGTTCAACAAGTTATGAAACTTTTATAAACAACCTCTAATGGCCTGGAAATGAATAGATAGTATTTTATTCGCATGGTTGCCGTTATTCAATTCAAAAACACCAAAGTATGAAGAACACATGGTGAACCAGACTTAATCTTTTAATTTGGAGCCAGGCGAGAGAGGGCATGAGACGAGGCTCCACAGTCCTGGGTCGCTGCCACACAGACCACTGGTTGCAATACATCTTTATCATAATTCTTTGTTAAATATACTATGTTATAGATTATGCCTACTCTTATTGTTGCACTATATATTGCGGTTTGTGTGGTTATAGCCTATCTACAGTAACAAATATATCTAGATCATAATACTTTGTTAAATATAGCATACTAATTTTTGATTAACTATATTCTTATTGTTAAAATCAGTCTAGCTTGGATTCAGCCAACAAGTAGTCATCATGAGTCACCACACTTTCATTCACAGGTGATATCACAGGCCTTGTTATAAGGCAAGGACTAAAGATAGATAGATGTAGGCTATTACTGTAGGTATAACCACACAAACTGCAATATATAGTGCAACAATAAGAATAGGCATAATCCATAATATTTTAACAAAGAATTAAGATAAAGATGTATTACAGTAGATATAACCAACTGCAACCAGTGGTCAGTGTGGCAGCAGTGTGGAGCCTCATCTCACGCACAAACACACACACACAGCAGTCCACTACTTGCCCCTGATGTCTGCGATATTGCAACAAAGTTTGAGTTTCAATAGCGTGAAAATGCCACCAAAGGCTATTTCTCAAGGAGAGATGCAATTTCACCCTTTATGATAGGTATAATATTTAAGTGTTATTATTTTACGCACTGATGGCCGCCGGCACACAGTAGCAAGCATATTATCATATGTAGCGCTGCACTAATTGGAGGATGCATCAAAAAGCCAATAATGCTAAACAAATAAGCAGCAGTCAATACAGTCTAATATAATATAATAATATAGTCTAATTCTAGTTTCATGTTCGCTGGTCGCGGCCTTAACCTGTTTGTTCAAAACTGTGAGCACGATAGTGGCTGATGGTGGAGAAGTGCAGCCATCCTGTCAGTCACGTGGTGAGTAGGTAAGGTAGTTCATTAGGAAGGTAATTTATCTTTTTAATGTAAATAATAAACAGATTTGTTCGAGTTCATTATTAAGCCTCATACAGTAGAAAATTGCTTTGATCCATTCCTCTCTATTAGACAAAACAAATAAAAAATTCTGCCAGTTGAGATAATTTAAATGATCTAAGGTCACTTTAGGTCTACTTTGGAACCATAGACAACAAAAAACTGACCTTTTTTAATGTGTACAGCCACAGTTTGTGTAACAAGGAACAGAAAGGAGCCTTCCCTCACTGGCAGAGACCAGACCACAGAATTGGCTACAACCCCCTCTCAGCTTTCTCTTTTTTAAGTTAAAACGTTTCAACCTTCCTCAGAATATAAAGACAGATAAGCGGTATGAAAACCTTCCAGCTGTGTTTTCCTCTGCCGTTGTTGCTGCAGTGGTCTGTGTGACGGCGGGAGCAGAGGGCTCTGTGAGCGGCCGGCCGGCCGGCCTCACACGCTCCTCCCGCCGGCCTCACACGCTCCTCCCGCCGGTTGGCACAGGCTTCCCCCCGCAGACACTTCCTCAACTCCGAAAATATTTATCACATTTTTGTTCCACCATCACTTCTCGTAAAACTGTCAATATTCGAAATCTACACAGCTGATTTCTCAAGTGAATTTAGTGATGAAATAACGTATGAAAATTGTAAAATATAAAACTTTCTGTTGCTGGCCTCTGTCTGTAACTCGCAAAGAAAGACAAGGCAGGTTTATTTTTATAGCACATTTCAACAACAAGGTAATTCAAAGTGCAAAACATAAAACATAAAAGCAACAGGGAAATATAAAAAAGTTTAAAAGCAACATCGGGAAATTGAAATAAAAAATATACACATTAAAACAGGGACAGTAAAAGTTACAGTGCAGTGTAAAATCAGGGTTAAAAGAGTTAAATGGAAAATAAAAAGAGGCTGAGGGGTTGAGCAAATAATTGAGTTACAATTATTTTGACATGAGAATAAACAGAGAAGTTCACTTAATCTACTCTCTCTAGCTAGTCTGTACTCAGAACCATATAAATCTTTGGGTCCACTGAAACTCCAAAAACCCAGTAGCCTAAATAGTACCTGTTAGCAGGTAGAGGGGCAACTTTTCCACAATGGAAAACCAAACAAAGGCGAGTGGAGCTGGTACCCTGCAGTGGGAAAGCGGCTTTAGTGTAGATCATCTACAAGCAGCAGGTGTTTTTCTCACAGATTACCCATCTGTTCACAATAACCTAATTTAATATTAATCACCCAGAACAAAGGTTAAAGGACAAAATAGAGAATGTAAAGATATATTTTAATATTATTTCACGTAAACATTTCCAGGCTGAGGAAGATGGTTGTTCTCTAGTCTTCATTAAAAACATAAATAGAAAAATGGACAGAATAAAATTCATTCATGAAAGTACTTGTAATGTACTGAGAGCTTTTATTGCCATTATAACAAAGATAAATAGAGAACTCACGGGATTCAAACCTGTGTCTGTCCAATAGCCCATATTTAGGCTAAATAAAATGATTAGGTTATAATTTATATTGTCTCTGCGACCTGTCCAGGGTGTACAACGCCTTTCGCCCGATGTCAGCTGGGATTGGCTCCAGCCCCCTGCTGCGACCTTGTACGCAGGACAAGTGGTTGACGATGGATGGATGGACGTTTTATATTGTTGATTTTCATTAATACTGTTGTTGATTTTCTTGTTATTGCTGGTACGACTATAATACGAAAAGCCTAAATAATAAGTTAGCGTAACAATGTCACTTAATATCGGTCCCAACTGACATATTTAGGAAGAATATGACAACGTTTCGTGAGTTTCGTGCTGTGAAAGTCAGACGAAAACACCTGGAACCACGGTGGTACCAAGAAGGTACAACAGATGTTGGTTAGTTTAACGATGCATCGTACCAACATAGTTCAATGCTACCTTCAGTCGTGTACGGGAAACGCACCCCAGAAACAGACTACAACAACACACAAAACAACCGGGGGTGAGTTTCCCGCACTATGATGGAAGGTTGAACTATGTTTGTCTCATTGAGTTGTTTTGCATCTCTTTCTAGTCGTTTCATGTTTCTATGTTTGTTATATTTTGTTTGTGTTAGTAGTTGTTGTGCATCTCTTACTGGTTGTTTTTTTTGTCTCTTTCTGGTTGTTTTGTGTCTAAGTCAAAGTCTAGTTAGCTGATCCTTCACCCAGTTCACCAAATCTTAATATTTATTTTAATACACTTTTTTAATACCGTACCATTTACACTTAGAATTATCCAGCTAAAAGACATCACAAAGAAAATCTTCTTTTTCTGACCTCACGTGCTTCTCACCTCTCTGCGGTGATATAAAAGTGTACTCCAGGTTGTGTCAGCGCGCTGTGACATACTGGTACAAAATGAAACACATCTAACAACACCGATCAGAGAAGCTGATTGAGGTCAGAGGTGCAAAAGACAGAGAACCTGCTGATCATTAAATACAGCAACAGATCTTTGAGCTCCTCACCTGTGACAGAGATCCAGCTGGATGGAGACTCTCCACGACCTCTGATGTTACACTTGTAGAGGCCTTCATCAGACTTGTTAACATGGTGGATGGTCATGTGACCTGTAGGCTCAGTCCTGATGAGGGAGCCATCTTTATAGAAACCAGCTGGGAGGTTGGAGGGAGGGGTCTCTGTTTTACAGTGCAGAGTGACATCATGTCCCTCCATCACAGGGAGGACAGGACTCTGCAGGATCACTGGTCCACCTCAACACAGAGACAAACTACAGCATTTCATCATTTACACACAGCTTCATCAACACTAACTCCACAGTCTGATCTTACCAGTGACAGTGATGTTGATGGTGTTACTGGTTGCTCCGTCTCTGGACTCACACCAGTAAACTCCACTGTCCAATGGGACTGTCAGACTGATGTTACAGGAAGAACCAGCTGATTTTCCCCAGTCGTCACACTGAGTCCTGGTCTCTTTGCTTGTGTTCCTCCTCAGCGTCCATCCAGCAGAGCTGTCATCGTCCTCACAGCTCAGAGAGACAAACTGATCTTTAAACAGCTGAGAGCTGCTGGGGACTCACAGTCAGAGAGGCTGGAGGGGATTTATTGTATTTTTAGCACAACGTAATGACCAATTCAGTGTCACAAAGAAAACATCATTCAAGTTTCTGTTAGTCGGGTATGTTGATTTGGGTTCAGGTACGAGGATGAAACACAATCCAGGAGTCCAGTCTGAGCAACAGATCCTTGAGTTTGAAGGTTTATCAGATACCAAATCAGTGCACAGTTTTATAACACTACAACTATAATACTACTTAACATACTCTAACACCATTGCTGTAACATAACACTCTGGAGTGTGAATGTATCAGCCTATTTCTTGGCTCTGAGCAGCAGAAACTCCATTACGTACACTTAGGTTTTTGGAACCAATTACAAACCAGATGAACATGTTAATCAGAAGGTTTTAGAGGGGCTGGTAGGTTTTATTACCTTTGCACAGAACCATGTTAGCTGTGTCCCCCTGTTTCCAGTCTTTATGCTAAGCTAAGCTGTTGCTATGTTGTGTTAACATTAAATACTCTTTCAGCTTGTCATATAAGAACTCACCTTGGTTTGTTGTGCAGCACAGCAGCAACATCAGCACTAAAGAGAAATTACACTATGGTTGGTTTGAGAATTTCAATTAACAATTAATTAATTTAAATCTATTTTAGACTGAAACTCATGACTAAAAGTTATGAAATGGTTTTGATGGTGGAAACTTGCTACTAAAATGAAATTCAAGCGTAACTGTTTACAGTAAATCAAAGTTCAGTTGCTTTCAATAAATTAATGTATGCATTTTTACTTTAAACACCAAATATCAGCTTATAGTGGATCAATGGAGAGACCTGGAATGACCAAAGCTCTGTTACTGATATTTAACTGTAAGCACATCAAAACACATGTTGAGGCAGGATGTTTTTTTTTTGTGCCAGGAGGTGAGAATGTCGTTTAACACCGTTGAGGTTTGCCTGCAGCATTATTCAATAAAGTGACATTTGAATGAAAGATGATGTGAAGTTTTGCACTTCCTGTTAAACATAAGTTTTCGTTCTCTGCTCTTTTCTTTAGCAACACAGGAAAGTGATGACATTTTCTGAACTTTTGAAATAATAATAATTCTGCCACTCTGCTGTAAACATAATTGTTGAAATGTAGACAGTCCAGGTTGTACTCACAGAGCAGAGGAGATGTTGGTGCCATCGTAGCTCACAGTGATGTGAGATGAAGACTTTCTTTCCTCGCTGCAGTCGAACCCTCCTCCTTCCTCTGTGTGGTTTTGTTCTCTGCAGTAAACAGGAAAAAACGGATCATTCGAGATAGTTTGTTCATGTCAGCACGTCCACTATTTGGCATATTAGAGATCTGATTTATTGAGATTTACAGGAGCCTTGTTTTTACTTTTCTATCTAAAGATTTCATGTAAATGTTAAAAAATAGAGGAAACGTCAGCTTTCATCAGTGTTGTTTGAGGGCCACATTTGGCCCACGAGTCACTGTTTGCTCATCACTGCTGTACAGTTGTACCCACTTTTCTTTGCTCTAGTGTCAGTCTGTGACCTTCTGCTGGTGGAAAAAGAAAAAGAGGAAGTCTTGAAGACGTCACTGCACTTTAACCCCCTCATTGTTAGTCCTACATGTATCAGCCTCTCAAAGTCTCCGAGCAGCTTCATGTGTGGATGCTTTGCACATTTTTTTCATCAGAATAAAGTTGAAAAATAAGATTTAGGATTATTGTTTAATTTAAGACTGAATTATATAAACATGTAGATTTTTTTGAGAAATACTAAGGTGTTGCAGATGATGTCTCATTACAGGACAGTAAAACAGCGGGGGTGGTGATGGTGCAGTGGATAAGACACATGCCTTTGAGAGCCGGGTTCAATTCCCCACTGTGACACGTCCACCAATGTGTCCCTGAGCAAGACACTTAACCGCTAGTTGCTCCAGAGGCGTGTCTCTCACACTCTGTTAGGATGCTGATGTCTTCAAAGACCTGTTGGAGTCGTCTGCCTTCAGGAAGATGTGGACCAAAAACCTGCCTTCTCGCCACCTGAACCAATCAGAAGCAGGGAACATCTTGGACGTGGTGATGTCCTGGATAAACCGAAGAACCGGACTCATCCCGGGTAATGTGCCTGCTCTCTGGCCTAATGGAGTGCCCATAATGCAACTGAATATATTGTTAAGAAGGAAAAGTTTTTTTTTTTTATGTATATGTAACAACAAAGACTGTGTTTTACTGCTCTTGCGTCATTTTAAATAACAGCAACATGCAGCTGCTGCATTATGTGTTTATTCGGTGAACAAAACACATTCTCAAATTCAATATTGGACTTGTGAAATGGATGATAAGAAACACTCAATGAAACTAGAAAATCTAGTCAAAGAAGATTTTACCGCAGACTTGGGGAGGAAATGATGGAGAACAAACAAGAAGCATGTGGAAAGTAAGCAACTGAAAACTTCCCACCACCTCCCTTCAGGCTTCCTCCCAAAACATGTGCTCACTCTCTGTAAGCGCAGAGTGCACACGGGTAGGCTAGATTACTGTTATTACTGAGCATTTGATTTATTGATTGCTGTCGGGATTTAAAGAGAATTTCAACACATATTACACAAAATAAATTAATGGCCTATTCCAGCTTTGAGTACAAACAACTTTTATTGGACTGAACTTGACTTGTTACTTTTAATCTATTAGCATCCAAATAAATTTCACTCAAAGTTTTTCTGTTATCGAATACTTATATTATTTAAGGCCGTCAGTAGAGTCAACCTGTCAGGGCATCTTAATTATTTACAAGAACAATTTAAATTTAGGTGGAGGTGCCCCAAAATTAGCACGAAATCTAACCATCTTGGAATAATCCGTGAACAAGTCGGTTTGTCCGCTGTCCCCTCTCTGCCTTGTCCCTGTTGAGTCAAAAAGTAACTCACACTGATGTATCTGATTATGGTCAGCGGGGTCTTTATTTCACGTCTACAACAAATGGACCAAATGGACCTGCTTTTATAGTTTTATCATTAACAGAAAGTATTTGGCAGCTTAATAACTGAAGATCCGTCCCGAAGAACAAAAGCTAAGGAAGTTGTCTGTGAAGATTCTCAGTCATCCCGGTCATAGTTTTCCAATGAAGGTTAAAATCAAGGGCAACTGGACTTGGTTGAGGATCTTCAACCAAGTTGATTTTAACCTTCATTGGAAAAGCTAAGGAAGCCTTCATATTTCGTGTCAATGTAAACTTTATTATAAACTGATTTTTAATGGACTTCTTCTGGACTGTACTAATCTTTACTTTACTAAGCATTTTTTTTTGCATGGATATTGTTACAGAACTGTTGTAAATAAAGTTGTGTTTTTTTTTTGTTAGTGATATTTCTGAAGCCCTGATTGGCTGAGGGTCAGGAAGAGACCCGGTGCGTTTCGGTCTGGCCTCATTGTGTTTTCATTGAGAAGAGCAGCACAGAGACAAACAGGAGCGGGTCGGCCAGCCTTTCAACACCAGCCCCGATAAACCAGTGATTCTCAGAGGGGCTGAAGGGTTTGTGGTCAAGACTAAAAGCGCACCGTTTGGATCTTTTCTTTGCGCAGTTTCCAAACTGCTGCTGGTCCGGCGGATATAACATAGAGATGCAGAGATCGTGCAGGATGACCGGAGGGGTGGGGGTCCGGATTCATAATCCCATAATGGCCAAGAAATAGCAAACGACCTCTCTCAATGAATGGAGCCTCTGGTTTCCAGTATAAGTGCTTAGCAGAATGAAAACTCTGCTGAAAAGAAGCTGTTTCTACCGGAAGAGAGAGAGAATGGGTGAGTAACTCAGTGTATTGACACTGTTTATTTTACTTACAGCTGTCGTTTGTATAACTAACATTTAATTCCAGATATGTGTGATATCGGTGTGATAACGTTATCTGCAGTGCAGGGTAGCCTATTACATAAATATATATAGCCTGCTGTATAATATATAAATAAAACACACAGACTGTATAAAACCTAAGTGTGCGTGTTCACAGCTTGTTTCTGCTGCCCCCCAGCAGCTTAAACATATATCTATGAGCTCAGTAAATAAAGGTAACTACAATTCACTTTACACACTTAAAGTAAAGTAAAGTAAAGTTTCTGGCTGTCGCGTTAAATTCAAAATTCTTCTAAAGTAAGGAGTTTATAAAGTAGCTGAATTCTTGACAGAACTTAAATGCAGCATGAGGAGCTCCGCCCTTCCTTGTCAGTCTTCAGTCGTAAACAAAATCTGCAACTTAAGCGACGAGCTCTTTGCTCTCATGGCCTCCTCTGCAGATCTGCAGCTCCTGGCCTTCCACCTTTGCGTGATCTTTCTGCGCTCTGCATCGGAAGGTGAGCTGCGTCTTCGTACGTGTGTGTGCACACTTAAAGCTAGCTGATCCGTGGAGAATGTAGGTAACAGTGGTTTTCATAACTTGCATGTTGTGGGACCTTGTTGACAGTTCAAACTGCAGCTGCTGCACAGTTACTGATGATTATTTTACTGTAGTCATAACTGTTACAATATTGTTAAAATATGTTTTATTATTGAATTATACTAGTATTGGGAAGAACACGAAGTTGCGTTTGTTACACATACAGTATATGTATAACAAACGCAAGTAAATTCATTGTTTAAATAGTTTTTTATGAATCGATATTGGCTTCGCTGCATCTGCTCTGCAGATGAACGTGACTTTCCTTCTCCCTCATGCACCTGCAATCAAATCAAATACTACAGCAAACATGTAATTATTGCAGCTCTAGATATATGGCTTTCTTAATTTGTTTTGGAAAATTGTAGGTAAACAGTGATCAGAATCAGCTTTTTTGCCAGGTATGTGATCCGCTGACAGGTGGAGGCTGGCACAGAGAGCTGGGTGGGTTTGGTGCTGAGGGTGTCCGGGATGATGGTGTTGAACGCTGAGCTGAAGTCCACGAACAGGATCCTTGCATATGTCCCTGGAGAGTCGAGGTGTTGCAGGATGTGATGCAGACCCAAGCTGACAGCGTCATCCACTGACCTGTTAGCCTGTAGGCAAACTGCAGGGGGTCCAGCAGGGGGCCTGTAATGTCCTTACAGGTCTTTCAAAGGACTTCATGACTACAGATGTCAGGGCGACAGGCCTGTAGGGTTTTATGGGGACCAGGAGGGAACTTCACACAGCTCCAGTGATTTGTTGCAGATCTGTGTGAAGATGGCTGCAGCCTCAAAAACACTCCAGTCAGTGCAGTCAAAGCAGGCCTGTACCTCCAGCTTTGACTTGTTGGTCCATCTTTTCACAGTCTTTACAACAGGTTTAGCAGATTTCAATTTTTGCCTGTGTGTCGGGAGAAGATGAACCAGACAATGATCAGAGAGTCCCAAGGCGGCACGGGGAACAGAGCGATAGGCGTCCTTTAATGTTGTGTAGCAGTGGTCCAGTGTCTTAGTGTCCCTGCTTTGACAGTTAATATGCTGTCTGTACTTTGGAAGTTCATGGCTGAGGTTTGCTTTGTTAAAGTCCCCAAGAACTATGAGCAGGGAGTCTGGATGTTTTTTCTCCACGCTAGTTATCTGGTCGGCCAGGTGTAGTAACGCCTCACTAACACAGGCCTGAGGTGGAATGTAAACAGCGACCAGGACAAACGAGGAAAACTCCAGGTTTGAACAGGAGCAGTGTAATGGTGTTAGCAGTTAAAAGTCTGATGTTAAAGAGCTCTTCTCTGGTAAAAGTTAGCAGGGAGGGACGGCAGAAAACAGTGTTGATAAACAAAAACACAACAAGCACTGCGGAGCGTAATCCAGAGGCTGCCATCTTGGGCGGCGCCATCGTTCAGTCAGTGATCCGTGTGTCTGTCTCAGAGACCTGGTTCTTTATTGAATTTCATTCAAGTAATTAACTGGATCTCGTCTAAACACAGCGAGTGACGGCGAGTTGCAGCACCGTGCTGCTTCTCTGTCAGGTTTACTCCACAACACGCCCTCCACATCTAAGGAAATTTTGTCATTGGCAGAAGGCACATAAATAAAACAGACATTCATTTTTACATTTCATTTGTTCAGTTGACAATGTCATTAACTCTCTAAATCCTCCACTACATCCTTTTTCCAAACCACAGTATGTTTAGGAAACAGGTGATCTAAAATACCGGCAGGTTCAGTCTGACTCTCTAAACCAGAGACCAACAAACCGCCAACAAACACAATCAAGATGCTCCGATCAGTGTCTCTGTTCAGCGTTGGTATTTACATTTGTCTGATGCTTGAAAATGATTATTGAGTATTATATAATGAGTATTATTTACTCCTCTGCCTGGTTACAGCCGCAGCTCAGTCGGCTGAAGTCACAGTGTGGAGGAGGAGGTACCAGGATCTGCTTCAGCGAGACTTTAGTCACGTTCACTGACATTCAGCTCCGAAGCGTCCTTCACTTTTCAGTCTGCATTGTTTAAGTTATACTCAGATTCCACTGACAGTGACACTTTTATGGACTGTAAAATGTTAACTGCAGTTCAATCAGGAAAACAAGTTAAATATGCAACAAGTTAGGAACCGATAAGAAGAATCGAACCGCACAGGTGTTAATGAATCCACAGTTTGGACCTACAACCTACAATCGTTACCCAACCTCTAGTCTGCATCACTGTTATTTCATAATATGGTGGTTTTAACACAAGACTCTGTTTTTGTTTGATCTGAAGTTGTTTTTGTCGTTTTTTTTTCACATGTGAGAGTGAAACGCGTGTGAAAAGCTGCTACTTTTGCTTTCTAACTAATTCAGGATTTTCTTTTCTGCTTATGTTTTTAGATCAGCGAGAGATAAAAGTGAATCCTGGACAGGACGTCTCTCTTCAGTGTCAGGGTCTCAGAGATGCCTCCGTCACACTGTTAGAGTGGACCAGACCTGACCTGAAGTCAGACGGTTACGTGTTCTTTTACCGAAACGAGCGGCCGTATGAAAACTACCAGCATCCATCTTTTCATGGTCGAGTGGAGCTGAGAGATCCAGAGATGAAGGACGGAGACGCTTCTGTTTTCCTGAAGAACGTCACCTTCAACGACACTGGAACATACGAGTGTCGGATTGTAACTAACGCACGACTAGAGATCAAGCACCTGATCGACCTGAATGTTACAGACTCAGGTGGGTTAGTAGAGTCCAGACTCCTCAGGTGGGTTAGTAGAGTCCCGACTCCTCGGGTGGGTTAGTAGAGTCCCGACTCCTCGGGTGGGTTAGTAGAGTCCCGACTCCTCGGGTGGGTTAGTAGAGTCCAGACTCCTCAGGTGGGTTAGTAGAGTCCCGACTCCTCAGGTGGGTTAGTAGAGTCCCGACTCCTCAGGTGGGTTAGTAGAGTCCCGACTCCTCAGGTGGGTTAGTAGAGTCCCGACTCCTCGGGTGGGTTAGTAGAGTCCCGACTCTTCGGGTGGGTTAGTAGAGTCAGGAGGGTTTGTGCAGCAGTTCAGATTTGCTGATAGATCAAACCTGTTTTTCTGCTCTGCAGATCACACAGCTGGAAACAAGGAGGGAGGAAACAAGGAGGGAGGAAACAAGGATGGATTCCGTTGGATCATGGTTGGTCTGCCAGTTATTGGTGTGCTGCTTGTTGTTGTTGTTGTTGTTGTTGTTTGTGTCTGTAGAAAACATAAGAACTCATCAGAGTATGATTCTTATAAACCTCCTCCTGAAAAGTCAGGTGTCCTGAACAGTTACTAATTGGTGTAAATGCATTAAGCTTCTTCTCAAAATGTTACTTGTTCCCTGGTTTTAGTGTCCTCTGTAGCAGCAGTTTGTATTCTGCCAAATCATCTTGCTCAGATAGTAATGAAAAAATGTTATACTGTGAACTTCCTTCAGCTGGTTGTTTATCTGTCTTCTTGCACGGCATCAGAGGAGAGTCATAGTTTCAACACAGTTAACTGGACAGAATCAGCATAAAGATGTATTTTAGTTTATATATGAGAACTTTTTGGGTCAAATCTGAACATAAACTTCAGGAGCTACAGCAGGCTAGCAGGCTAAAAACAGTTTTTCACTGTGTGCAATATAAACAGTTTATTAAGCACTTTATTCTCATTAATCCCATCATTACTCACTGCAGCCAGTCAGCTTCTCTGCTGCTTCTAATTTTCCTCAAACCTTCTGTGTTTCTGGATGAACAGTTGAGAGCGAGGGTGGATCAGTGTGCAATGATAAACAAATTACTCGTAGTTCCCTTCATGGGAAGGAGAGGGAAATTGTAAATGTGAGTTCGCTCTGACGGGACCTTGGTTGTGGTGAAGAGCTTGTGGGAGCAGTCAGGATAGTTTGCTCCTGGTGGTCTGTACAGGACTATTGGGAACTTTATAATTGCATGTTTCCACCATTTGAATTAAAGCAGTGATCTGCAGAAAGAGTGAGCACTTGCACCTTTACACAATTTATATGTTATTGAGTAATCTGTCTTTTCTGTATCCGACAGATGAAACTGATGTTTATTAGAGTGATTGTTTTGTTTCAGATGTGTCCAATCTTATGGTTTCAGTTTCTGCATTCTCAGCACTTTACATCACCTGTAAAGCTTAATTATATTAATAAATACGTTTTTACATTTAAATATGTTTCCTTTTTTTAATAATGTAGAGGGGCTGGATTCATGTTCAGTCTTTCTGTAGAGTCTAAAAGTTGTTTATCAGAAGTTGCGCTTGTTGTCACACATCTGCTGCACAAGAAGTACAACATGTGATGTACCAGGGAGGTTTAGAAAACACACACAGTGCTTCATGAAAACATTGTTAATATTTGAATCCTCCAGCTTTCCAGCATGTTTCTGCAGCTGCCCTTCAGTATATTTACACTCTTTAACACGTTGCAGCAGGTAACTCGGTGGAGCCGCTTCACACACATGAGACACAAAGGCAAATAGAAAGAAAGTAAACACGGATATGTACAAACCAACCACCTTTGAACATGAGACAGGGGTTACCACGGTTACCATCTCCCCTCATATACATATACCGAGGGAGGTGACCACTGATGCAGACCATGAGATGTGGTTGAAAGCTCTGCAAACAGCCAGTAAGTTGACCTTTGAGGTGAAATATCTTAGCGTGTCCGATGGTTTTGAAACTGCTGGAGAAGAAGAAGTCACGTTATTTCCTCTCTTATTACAGGAGTAAACTAAACAACCTTCAGCCTACAAACCCGACAGTAAAGTGTAGCTGGGAGCTCCACAGAGTCTCGAATATATCAGCTGTGCCCTTTAATTTGAGCAGTACAGAGGAGACCAGTGTTTAAAGGGGATGAAAGGAGTAAATGTGATTGGCCACAACACGCCTCCAGCGTCCCTGATATCAGATCACTCAGCAGCCATGAGTGCAGCGCGTGAACACAGTGTGAATGTCAACATAAAAACACAGCAGTTCACTGCAGGGTGTTTCTAGTTTGTCTTTCACTTTCATTTCATGAGAAGAGAAACAAAGTCATTTCTGCAGAAACAGCCTTCATGTGATACAGATAATAATAAAATAATTTAACTGCAACAAAAACCACAGAATCAGTAAATAAAAGCTTAAAGACATCAACTCAGCTTTTACATCTGCATCTTAAAACCAGGGCCGGATTCATCAAGCTTCTCAAAATGCCACTTTAGTCTTAAGTGCTGAGAATTCATGAAATTTACTCCTACTTTTAAACTTAATAATAAAAGTAAGTTATCACAATTCTTAAAGCTAAGAATCACTCTTACTCTCCCAGTTATTTAGGACAGCTCCAGAGGTCTCTCAGGTGGAGCCGCCAGAAGGTGCTTGTGAGACGCAAATCCTTCAGGAGAGGAAGAATGTTTTAATTATTTGACGATGCCCTCAGTTAATAAGACGGGGTCGGGCAGCGGACACCTCATCAGTGACTTAATGCAGCAATACATTTGAACTTAAACTGAAGGTTGTGATGACGTTTTGTTTAATTGCCACAGGACAAACGTAGCAGTGCTGTTGATTTGAGGACATCACAACCATCAATAAGCTGAATATCCACACAGTCATGCGTTTTATCGACTTCCCAACACCGCGGGCCCAGGTTTTTATTCACATTCAGTGCTGTGAATGAGCAGGGAAATCTGTTTTAGAGAATAAAAAGCTGAAATAAATGTATTTCTTGGCAAATTTAATAAAGTAGATGCCCCACTGACTTAACACAAGAACTGTGTGGTAACATGAAACATGTGGAGCTGTGAAACTTTGACTTTGAATGATTTTATCTGAGAAACACTGCAGCTCTGTGCAGGAAGTCCATGGAGCTGCAGATTTAATTTCTCAGTTTGTTTACTTTGGGTAAAACAAATGAGTATTTTCACTCTCTCTGTGCTCACGTGCTGCCACCTGCTGGCTGCTTCCTGTCCCTGCAGGCACTCGACAGTCTTCAGGGCCCAGTTGTTAAAAACCTTTAATCAGAATGATCCGGATTTGGAAATCCCATGTTTTGCTATCACGTAACCCCTCTTACTTTCCAGATACAAACCTTGCATGATTACCAGATTTCCAGAGCCCTAAATGGGACCACATATCACAACGTAGGCTGTTAATGATATAAACACCAGCAGGTAGAACAGCCAGCATGGGGTCACTTTAATTTGAAGAGACAGAAAATGCACAATAAAACATACATTTACACAAACATTTCCTTCTATTTCAAATTTCTTTAAACAGTCAGACCATCTGACCCACAACAAATCCAAGAAAAACAAGCAAATATAGGCCTACGTTATTCACAGATACACTGTGGATATTTTGAGCATGTGTGACCAATAGTTAAAATAAAGATCATTCAGAGTTCAGAGAGCAGCTTTTAGCTTTCAGGAGGCAACTCAGATGAGGGACTGACTGGACCTGCAATAAGGGATGAACTTGTTACAAACTACTTTTGAATGGTTCATCTCTGACTGTGCCCTGTGATTAAGGGACAGTTGAAATTAAATATATTATTTTGGTTTGATATTGCTGTTCGGGGGATTATTTTTATTTTTTACTTTACTGAATGTCTTTTAAGTAATGTCTGCTTAAAATATAAATTCATGTGCTCCTACTTGATGATAAATGTTGTGTTATTTGGAAAATTCAGAAAGTTTGATGACATTTTGTTCCTGAAATCCAACCTGAATCCACCCTTCTGTTGGGATCAGGATAATCCTGTTTTTTTGGATCAAAGGGATCCCAATCCTACTAAAAAAGTTTTAAACAGCATACGGTGAACACACAATGACCTTTGCCTCCTAAATGTTTTGGATATGGCCTTTTTTGTTTGTATAGTCTAAAGTTGACGTAATCTGTTTTCAGTAACTAAGCTTATAGGCTGCTGTGGTTTAAGTTGTCTCTAAGAGAGCAGAGGGAGAGCAATATGTTGCACATGTTTCTTGCCAATAATTAAATAGTTGTCAATTCATGACACTTAATCATCTCAAATAGACGCAGTGATCAGTGTCGGCCAATACTGCTTCCAGCAATTGGTGATCGGACCCAAAAATCCTGATTGGAGCACCCCTAGTATGTTTAGTTGTTGTTGATATTTTTAAATTAGACATAATTGTATTTGTGAAATCTTTCCTTTAATCTTTTTTTAATCTTTTGTGAATCTTTTCCTTTTTTCCCATTATTTATTTTAATTTCCCTTTTGCAGTGGGGAGTGTTGTAAAGCCTGCCTGTGTTTTACCAAGTAGGTTCCACGTATTAAGCATTATCAGGTAAAAACAGATTTTATGGGAATATTAATCGTTTTCCAAATAATTTTATTTAGGGGTTGCACCGGAACAATCCTAAAATCATATTTTTATGCTACATTTATACTTTTCACTTACCGAGTCATGGATGTGACACACGGAGTTGTTTTTATCTGAAAAAGGATCATTTTGTCTCACAATGAGTTTTTAATGTCAGACTCTATTTATTTTTCCGAACTTAATTTTTTTGTGTTTTCCTGCTATAAATTAAGTCAGTGATAACAGAGCTGAAACCGATCTAGAGTCAATTCAACACTTATGAATAGCATCAACCAAACCAGAGCCCAGCAGCATCCAGAGAGTAAAACAATGGAGGAAAGAGCAGAAGATGGAGGAACAGCAGCTCTCTGTTCTCTTTATTCTTCATCTTTATTGATCTGTCTGCTTAATGAGCAGCAGGTGGCAACCTCCATCTCTGGTGGTTTGAGATTTAAAGTTTGTTTGTTTTGAACTGATGCATCACAGAAGTTATTCTATATATAGTTATATATAATAATGTATTTATATATTATATATAGTTTCATTATTAAAGATTTGTTAGATACAGCGACTTGGTTTTTCGAAACCATCATTAGTTCTTTACAGATCTCTGATTATTGATTGGAATAAAATAAAATAATTTTAAAGAGGTGGAATTATGCTCATTTTCAGTTGTACCACAACATGTCATACTGCACATTGCTGCAGCTCCTCTTTTCTCTGTGTTAAAGGCTTCATTTTAGCTATGGAGTGATACATCTTGCTTCTACATGATCTTTGTTGGCCAATCAGAAGCAGAGAAGAGCGGGTCAGCGAGAAACCCGTAAACAGCTTCGATTCAGCTGTAGGCTACATGTTGCCGACCAGCTTGGCAACATGGACTGGAGCTTCAGAGTGGTGAGTTATTAATCTGCAACAATGTAGTCCAGAACAGGAGGATTACAGTTTTTATTATTATTATTGTAGATTTTGAAAGAAGTTCTACACTAAGCAAAGATGTTTTCTGAAGTCTCTAGGTTATGTAGGCTAGGACGTCTCTGCAGCACAACAATGTTTCATTTAAAATTGCATTGTGACACATTTAACAAATACTGCACCTGCTGCAAGTTGAAAATTGCCCGCTTTATTGCGATTTTGATAAAAATCCATTAATTGTTCAGCCCGATTTGTTATATTAATAATTATTATTATAAGTAAACCGGTTTCAGTGTTCATATGGGAACCTGACTGCTCTTTATGTTGCTGTGTTTCTGAGTCTCATGAAAACCAGGACCTGCTGATTTTTATGATGTGTGATGTTTAAACTGCTTCTTAACTCAGAGAGAAGAAACTTTACAGACTGAATCTCGATGGTTCACCGACTAAAGCATCAAAACTCTTCAAACACAAACAAACACTTTGAACTGAAGTTATATTACGTTCATGCTGTTCAGAATCTGCGGTTTTAATTGTTTCTTCTTAGTTATCTGCACTGACAGGAGGTGAGTATCAGTTAGCCACAGCCAAACCAGAAGCTTTGTGAAACCCACAGAACCACAGGAGAAAAAAAAGAACGAGACCAAAGTTTATTGATCCTGCAGAGAAACACGTTTACTGTTTCACAAGATTCCAAAAAACATTAATTAAATATAAATAAAAGGTTATTACATTAACCACAAAACAACTTGAAGTCATCATTAGATTCTGTTATGAAATATATGAATAAAACTACAAAGAAACAGGTAACGTGTCGGTGCTGAAATACTTTACAGGGTAAAAAAAATAATTCAGTGACTTAAAATAAGTATTTTAACAATTTATTTAATCTTTTGTTTTAGGTTTTTCATGTCACTGATATCACTGAAAAACAAGTGTTTAAATCATTCACAAAGTCTGACTGTTTGTCTCTTTGTAGCTTTAACAGTGAAATCTAATAAATTAATGTGCTGAGGTGTGAGGGGCTCTGGGGACCAGTCCCAGGCCAGCTGGACATCAGTGGTTGGACTGGTGTGAAGGTGTGAAGGTCTACCTCAGTGAAGAGTAGACGACCTCTGGCTCTGCTGGAAACTCTGAACACACAAACACAAACAGTTCAAACAACATGAGAAACTGTTGGAGACAAAGAAACTCCATCACCAGACCACAACTCTGCTTCACTCAGTTCTCAGGAACTAACGATTCATTAACTATGCGGTCGATTTTCAAAATAAAATATCTTGTGCCGACTCCTGATCATATAGCAACAATAAGTACAGTTAAAACAGACCAAAAAATAAACGATTTAACTATGTAGCCTTCTTAACCGCGGTAGAAGCACAAAAAATACTAAAAATCTAAACAATTCAGCAAAATCAGGCATGCATAACGCTCTTATTCTGAAATGCTCCTTGTGGGAAATTCAGCCCTGCAGGGAACTGCAGTAGTAGGGGAGAGCCGGGACGAATGAAACACACTTCAGATCATTTTAAAATATAACGTTACAGACAGAAATCATTTGTTGTTGTCATCAACAACTCACGTGTGTGTTCTATCAATACCAGGTGTTATGTTGTTAAAATGTGGAACGACTTCAGTATAATTTCACTCTGAAGGAAAGGTGCGCATTGTTTCATTTGTCCCTACTGTGCAGGACAGATGAAACACAACGACATACATTAAATAGTTTAAGTTATTCTTGTTTTTATTTAGAAAGCTTGACACTGCCTTTATTAATACGTAATTGCAAACTCAATATGTCCTTTTTCTTAATAAAAAATAGTATAAATACAACTTAGCTTGCTAACTAGAAAATGTAAGAGCTAATGCACATTTGGATCAGATCTGGCTGCCCTTTTTATGCACATCTGCAGCCTGTTTTCCTGCTCTACTGTGAAGACCCTGTTATTTGGCTGTGAGCAGCCTGGTGGTCCAGCCTGCAGCCTAGTGGACTCTGCTGTATCTGAATAAGGTAGAATGGCTGCGTGTCGGGATGATTGAAACATGTGTTTTAATCGTAGCTTCTAAACTGTAAATCTTTGACATTTAAAACTTCAGGATGTGTTAAAGTACTAACTAATGTTTTATCTGATCATGACCATGACACAGGGAACAATAAACACAACTCGTCATTCAAAAAACAGATCGCTTGAGTGAATTTACTTTCCGTGATTGAAAACAGCTTCTTTCGTATAACTCTGTGAAAGTGTGACGTATCCACCTGATTTTTCCCTGTTATGTTAAGTACTGTGGACTGAATGTGCTGAGGTAGTTTGGCATATCAGACTTGTATGGGCTCCGAGAAAAAAGCTGTGTTTCATTCGTCCCGCGTTTCAATCGTCCCGGCTCTCCCCTATAAATCTGCAGTACCGGAGGCTGCAGTTTCAGGACCCCCGCAATCCTGGGACCTTAGTTGTAGGACCCTAGTTCTTTTGCGACAGCGGCATCTAGTGGAGTGGTGGTGGTAATGCACAGCAACACGAAGGAGGTTAACCCTCTCTGCTGTGAGGCCGATGTGCGCAGCTGTTGGGTTAACCGGTCGACATGCATATAATCAATAACTTAGATTTAGGCACACACTCGGTGGTGGTTGTGGTAAGGGTAATTGGCTTCGGGGGGCTGTAAAGAGTAACATAGCTAGCCAGTCAGCTAGCTGGCAGTATCAAAGTAAACAAGGGTTTTTTTTGGATTGCGGTCCTGAAACTGCAGCTACATGCTACTCGGGAACTGGGGGAAAACGGTTCACAGAGCGCTGTGATCAGTTGTAGAAGCACACTAAAGCCTTTTTTCCACAACACAAAACCAGCTCGTCCCGCCTCGACTGTGTAAAAGTTGTACCTGCTTCCAGATACTTTTTTTTCGTATCACCTCTGGCGAGGTTCTAAAAGCGAGCTTAGGCGATACTAAAATGTGACGTGAAAACACGGCAGACTACTGATTGGTCAGAGAGAATCGTCACTATTTACTGCATCATCATTGCGTGCGCCTGACAGAGGCCAGCGCCAGAAAGTTTTATATTTTACCATTTTAATATGTTATTTCATCACTAAATCCACTTTTTGAGAAGTTTTGAGGTGAGAAATCAGCTGTGTAGATTTCGAATATTGACAGTTTTACGAAAAGTGATGGTGGAACAAAAAATGTCCTTGAAAGTTTTCGGAGTTGAGGAGCTCCATAAGTGGCGGTGGGGAAGCCAGCGCCAACCTACGGGAGGACCTTGCGAGGCCGGCCAGCCGCATTTCATACCGCTTATCTGTGCATGTGATTGGATTAGAAAGGCACAGGCTATAAAAAGATTGCCAAGACCCTGAAAATGAGCTGCAGCACGGTAGCCAAGACCATACAGTGGTTCAACAGGACAGGTTCCACTCAGAACAGGCCTCACCATGGTCGACTAAAGAAGTTGAGTGCTCGTGCTCAGCGTAATATCCAGAGGTTGTCTTTGGGAAATAGACCTATGAGTGCTGCCAGCATTGCTGCAGAGGTTGAAGGGGTGGGAGGTCAGACTACAGCCCTGCATTTCAGCCCAAGCCCAACGGAGTGCGACTTATGCAGATCCCTAGGTTAAGAACCACTGTCCTAGCATTATACTTTTTATTTAATAACATTTATTTATACACAGATTTATACTACATCATTTTATGTGGATCTACTAAGCAAAGTTTCAGGAGCAGGACCACACATCACTCACATCACTGCTGGCATTTCCATAAATGCCCACACAACTCATTTCCTCTTCTTCGCTCTTGCATTCTACACCTCCCCCTTTCTCTGTCTCATCTCCTTCTTCCTCTCTGTAGGGTTATGAGTGGGTCCATCGTGCCCTGGTGCTAAGGCGGAAAACATCATCCTGCGTAGTGCTCGCTCTCCATCAAAAGAGCCTCGCCAAGACCCCGGTCGCTTTCGCTTTGACTCGTCATCTCAAAGACTTTGCCACTTCACTGCCCTGGGTAGAGCGCCGCAGGCTTCAGAGGCAGCTGCAACAATATCTAACAGTGGGATGGGAGGCTAATAAGCAGCTGTACCTCTCGTCCTGTGTGGTCTGATGACTATTTGTCCATAACTGACGTCTCCTGCTCCTCTCACTGCTGAGTAGACTGCAGCTGGATCACTCTCTGGAAAATAAAACACATACAAATTACATTACTGCAGGTACTACAGCTGATACCAGTACTGTTAGTATATTTACTGCTGTTTGCACTACTGCTACTAGTATGGCAAAAACATTTGATGTAACAAGTTTTATGAAAGGCTTTATAAATAGCAGCCATGCTGTAAAAAGCTCAAAGACCAAATTTAACTGGAAAGTACTGAGCTGGAAAATGAAGTTGGACGACCACCAAGCTGCTCGCTCTTTTATAACAAGTTCACATATTTCAGCACAAAACACGTCACCATCAGCTAAAACCACACTACAGTGAGAAACCACACCAGCATCAGAACCTAGGTAACTGGAGTCAACAGGAGGACATTGCTGCTGTGGTTGGAAAAAGTATTTTCGGTCTGCTGAGTCAGTCTTTTCTTTTATTTAAAATCACTTATGATAATTAAATAATCAGATCAATAATAAAACACAACAGTAAACACCAGAACATACTGAGATATGCAATTCTGCACATTTGAAACAAGTGTTTTTTAAGAGGAAACTGGATGACAGAGCTGTCAGCATCTGTGACTAAAATATTATTGGTGTGAGTTTTTTCATGGGGTTAGAAGTCAATAAAACATAATGACTTCAAAAACATTTAGTGTGTCCTGATGGACATAAAGAACTTAAAGAAAACAGAAATGTAAGAACAGTAAATGTGACTTTAAATGTCAACTGAATCACATGGAGTCTGTTGCTAACCTTTAGGTTTCCTGTGGAGGCATCGTCTCACCAGTACAACCAGAAGAACCAGTACACAGAAAGATAGAACCGTAGACCAAAATGCTAAGGGAGGGGCAGAGGAGGAACCAGGAGGAGAGGGGGTTGAAGGAGGACTTGTGTGGTGGGTTTCACTGAAATGAGCAAGAAGTTATAATTAAAAGGCACAGAAAATAAAATAAATGGACAATTTATTCAACAACATGCTAACAGAAAGACACAGCAGTGAATTCATAATGTCTGTCTGGTTTAGAGTTAAAAAGATCACGTATCAAACGGTGGGTTGAACTCTGACAGATTTCACTCTTTTTTCTTTGCAGATTGCAAAGTTAGAAATGTTGTCACATCATGAATCATCTCTGCTGTCCTGAAACCTGCTGAACTCAATGTAGAAAACAAAACAAGGTCAGTTTGAGAATTATCTTTGAGCTCCTCACCTGTGACAGAGATCCAGCTGGATGGAGACTCTCCACGACCTCTGATGTTACACTTGTAGAGGCCTTCATCAGACTTGTTAACATGGTGGATGGTCATGTGACCTGTAGGCTCAGTCCTGATGAGGGAGCCATCTTTATAGAAACCAGCTGGGAGGTTGGAGGGAGGGGTCTTGTTTTACAGTGCAGAGTGACATCATGTCCCTCCATCACAGGGAGGACAGGACTCTGCAGGATCACTGGTCCACCTCAACACAGAGACAAACTACAGCATTTCATCATTTACACACAGCTTCATCAACACTAACTCCTCAGTCTGATCTTACCAGTGACAGTGATGTTGATGGTGTTACTGGTTGCTCCCTCTCTGGACTCACACCAGTAAACTCCACTGTCAATGGGTCGATGTGGCTGATGTAACAGGAAGAACCAGCTGATCTTCCCCAGTCAGCTTCACACTGAGTCCTGGTTCTCTGGTTGTGTTCCTCCTCAGCATCCATCCAGCAGAGCTGTCGTCCTCCTCACAGCTCAGAGAGACAAACTTCCAGGTGAAAAACTGAGAGCTGCTGGGACTCACAGTCAGAGAGGCTGGAGGGGATAAAGTTACATTTTTAATGAAATTACTGGATGTGTCACAGTAAAAGCTTGACACTTTGTTGTATATAACAACAGGATATGCTCAACTAACCAGGACCATGTGGTTGCTCACACACCGGGCAAAAGTCCCCCCCCCCCCCCCCCTTTGGATGTTTCACCCATTAGTTTCTTTTATACATGAATTCATGGTCAATGGCTTTTTTGACAAGAATTTGCACAAAAAACTTTTTAATATCAAAGTGAAAACAGATTTTTACAAACTAATGTCAATTAATTAAAATTATAAGGCGAAGAAAGAAGATGATTGCATAAAATATTCACCCCCTTCAGGTCAGTATTTAGTAGATGCACCTTTGGCTGCAATTACAGCAATGAGTCTGTGTGGATATGTCAGGCTGGCACATCTGGACACTGCAAGTTTTGTCTGTCAGGTTGCTCGGGGATCAGGCTGAACAGCTCTTTTCAAGTCTAGCCACAAATTCTGGATTGGCTTGAGATCTGGGCTTTGACTTGGCCACTCAAGAACATTCACCTTGTTTGGGGTTGTTGTCTTGCTGGAAAATAAATCTTCTCCCAAGTTGTAGTTCTCTTCCAGACTGAGTCAGATTATCCTCCAGGATTAGGTGATATTTTTCTGCATTCATGTTCCCCTCTACCTTTACAAGCCTTCCAGGCCCGCAGCTGCAAGGCATCCTCAGAGCATGATGCTGCCACCTCCATGCTTCACGGTGGAGATGGTGTGTTTATGGTGATGTGCAGTTTTGGTATTCTCCAAACATAGCAAGGCAAGGCAAGTTTATTTGTATAGCACATTTCAACAACAAGGCAATTCTAAGTGCTTTACACCAAACATAAAAGCAACATAGGGAAATTGAAGGGGAAAAAACACATTAAAATAATTTTGGAAAGGGTGAGATAGAAAATAAAAACAGGATTAAAAAAAACAGGACCGTAAAAGTTACAGTGCAGTGTACAATCAGGGTTAAAAGAGTTAAATGGAAAATACAAACAGGCTGAGCAAATAATTGAGTTACAATTATTTTTTTGTCTTTGAAAGAGAATAAACTAAGTACACTTAATCCTCTCTCTAGCTAGTCTGTACTCGGGTCCATATCTTTGAGTCCACTGAAACTCCAAAAACCCTCAACACTACGGAGAAACCAGGACATGTCTGTCAGCAGGCCACTTTGAACCATTATACTCTGGACCCATCTGTGCGTTTACAGGTGGACAGAGGTTCCTGCAAATCACTCAGGCGTGAGATTTAAGACCACTTCCTTCACTCTGTTCAATCACACTCTCATTATCTTTTCACTCAACTACCTACTCATTTCTCACCGTGTAAATAGTGTTCACTGAGAATCTAAAACAAAGACAGAGAAAACAGGACGTTACAGTGCAGTGAAAGTTACCAATCTATGGATTTAATTAAAGGCAGTGGTAAAAAGAAAAGTCTTCAGTCTTAATTTAAAAGAACTGACAGTTTCAGCAGACCTGCAGTTATCTAGGAGTTTGTTATACGGAGCATAAAAACTGAACGCTGCTTCTCCTTGTTTAGTTTTGACTCTGGGGACAGAAAGCAGACCTGATCCCAGACGACCTGAGAGGTCTGGATGGTTCATAACGAAGCAGAAGATCAGAAATGTATTTTGGCCCTAAACCATTTAGTGATTTATAAACTAACAGCAGGATTTTGAAATCCATTCTTTGACATACATGAAGCCAATGTAAAGACCTCAGAACTGGAGTGATGTGATCCACTTTTTGGTCTCAGTGAGGACTCGAGCAGCAGCGTTCTGAATCAGCTGCAGCTGTCTGATGGATTTCTTAGGGAGCCCTGTAAGGACACTGTTACAGTAGTCAAGCCGACTGAAGATAAATGCATGGATACGTTTTTCCAGGTCCTGCTGAGACATAAGTCCTTTAATCCTTGATATCTTCAGGTGATTGTAGGCTGACTTTGTAATTGTCTTAATGTGGCTGCTCAAATTCAGGTCTGAGTCCATGACTACACCAAGATTTCTGGCTTATTTGTGGTTCTTAACATTACAGATTGAAGCTGAGCACTGACTTTCAATCGTTCCCTGGCTCCAAAAACAATAACTTCAGTTTTATCTTTGTTTAATTGAAGAAAATTCTGGCACAGCCGTTGACCTGCTCAATACAGTCACTCAGCGCCCGTATGTGATCATAGTCCCCTGGTTATATCGTTGTGTAAGTCTGTGTGTCATCTGCATAATTATTGTAACATATTGTGTGCATGTAATGTTAAACAGAAGAGGCCCCAGAATGGAGCCTTGGGCAACTCCAACATGTCATTTTTGTCAGCTCAGATGTGTGATTACCCATAGACACAAAGTAGTCCCTGTCCTTTAAGTAGGATTCAGACCAGTTAGTACTGTGCC